AAGACATCTCCTTGATACAGGACATAAAGCTGATATACTGAAGTCCTTCAAGGTGATTAACAAACAATCAAACTCGAACCTTTTGAAATTCGCTGAAGCGTTAGCAATCAAACGTTTAAAACCAGATCTATGTATACAAAAAGAGACGGTAATAAATCTTTCTTTACCCTGGTAACAATAACCCTCACTCTTTCTATTAATTTGCTCCTATTTATTTATTTATTACGTCATTATTGCAACTCTTTCTAAAATATAAATTACATCATACATAACTGATTGATTTCAATTCATATTTTCTTTATTACCATTAATCTATTTTCATGAGTTCTAATCACTATTTCAATGTTCCAGAACTTTCCCTTTCTAACTTTATTTATTTATTCGAATCAAACATTTTATGAGCTCATTAACTCTATCTGAATCTTTGCTTGCTACATCATCATACATATGTATTGATCCTTAATCACACTCTTATGTATTAATATGTCAATATCTGTAATAATGTTGAATTTTAAATATTTTAGGTTGTAAGCAGCTGATGAGAACCTAACGAAATAAAATGAATTCATATTATTCTGCACCAATCTTTGTTCTTGCTCTATTTAAAATAATAGTTCAGTTAGCAAAAATATAACCAGAAAGAATTCTTTCAATTAGAGAAGTTACGTTTATTTTCTATGGAGTGAAAGAAAGTTACAACAGGATCGCCACCCGATTCTATTTTGAGCCATATTTGATAATGTTTCAAGCCACTGTGTTGCATCATCCCTAGGACCCCAACCAGGGAGTCATGGAGGACCAACAGAAGCCAGTCCTGTACAGCTTTCTTTCATATCACGACACCATGTCATAAACTGATGCATGATGTGGACTTATCCCCCGATAGTTGTTGCAGAAACAACGTGAACCCTTTTTAAAGACAGGGATAACTATTGACTCGTTTCATGACGGAATACTCTAATTATCAGACCTTTGTAAATAACTCAATCAGTTCCATAACCAGAAATTCACTGCCATCTTTAAAAAAGGTCGAAAGTAAGTCATCTGGGCCCGGTGATTTGTAGCGCTTCAAGAGTTGGAGTTCCTTGCGGACTTCTGTCTCATTTGGTGGACCAGTCATCACAGGCCATGGAGAGCAAAGCAGTCTGATCGATATTGCCGGGGCAGCAGACCAGTTGAACTGCCCCTCCTCCGAGACGTCGGTAGATGTTAGTGATTGACATCCCGTCATCTTCACAGATTGTTTCGCTCACATCAGACTTCTTGCTGCCAGTAAATAAGATGAGTCAAATAAGCTTCCGGCAGTTACCACATGCAGGTGCTGCTTCCAACTCATTGGCATGCTCCGACCACCAGGCTTCTTGGTTCTTACACAAGCCTCGTCAAATTTCATTTCGTAACAGTCTTCGCTTGGGGTTAAACTCGAGGTCATCCGGCGTAGACCGACAGGCTTCAATGAGTTGTAAGGAGCCCAAAGAAACCCCGTGCTCATAAGCGGGACTTTTCGAAGAGCTGCAAACGACTTTACTCGCCATTTTCATGGTATCATGTAATTGCAACAAATGTTTATCTATACTTTTCGGTGGGTTGGTAGCTAGCCTTGAACCTAGCTCGGTTTGATATTTAGTTACAACTGAAGTTTCTTACACATTAAAGAAGAGTAAAAGCAGAATACACTGGTATCTGGATCGACAATCATGCTCAGCCACCTATGTTAACATTTTAATCCTGAGTTACTCAATTTCAAGGTCTTAGTGAGGCATTATGCACTACCGGACGCTAGTTTTATATAACTGCTGCTACTACCGGTTTGGTTATACCGGAGTAGCTGAAGCAAGGTTCAAACTTGTGATTGCATCGTGCAATCGTAAATTCATTTATAAAGATACCATATGTGTGAATTAGTAGCGTTTTCTTCCCTATTACTTATTTTAAGTTGCTTCTGACTCAAAGAAACATTACAGATATTTATAATAAGGTCAATAATTTTATGATGAATAAATCCTGGGTGGCTTCTCAGTTACTCATATATATAATGCTCAACTGTAGTTTCGACTTGTACGAGAACAACAACATTGTTGCTTTGTAGAAGAGTCTGACCATTTTGAGATTAACCTTGAGTTGCAGAGAAGCGATGCTAGTTGGTGCCCACGAGAAACAGTTTGTGATCTGTACAAAACTTCTGAAGGCGATTCTTTTTATCTAGGCTGAGACTGATGAGCTCCCTTGTGACACCCAGTCAGTTCCTTTATACGCACGAACTGGAAACTCAAAATTCAAGTTTGTATCAAAACACTTTCGAAAGCTCGTTATCGAGATTGTCTAACTAATGGTTTGATTCAGCCTTAAGATGGTGGAGAAGATTTGTAGCTCAGGTGGATGATTTTGATGTAGTTTTGTTCTCTGAGCTGGATGGCTTGGTCATCGTTCTTCTGAACAACATCATCAGCACAAACTTCAGGTAGAAGTCTTCTACAAGCTCAGAGAACAAAACTTCACCAAAATGATTAACCCTTCAACGAGTCCGAACTACAACTTATAGGTGTGTAAAATGAGAACCAAAAACAAATATTTCGCCTCACCAATAGCTCATTCTAGTTGTAGGGCCAGCGAAATGTCACTAAGCCCTAGCCAAATCATACGGCAGTTGGGTCATTGAATATCGAGCAAATCATCGATCCTCGTCAAGGTCAGGGACAACCAACGCGCATCAGTTAGTCGTATACCATGTACTGGCCCATGCGGCAGTGGTCTTACTTTCGCTTGTATCTACCTTAACCAATATATTTCTGTAATAACGTCCTCTGTGTTGGACAGTCTTCAAAGCACCTATGGTACCTTGATACGTCAATGGGGTAGTCCGCGTAAGGTGCTGACCACGAGGTGTGACTTCGACGTTAGTTGGTTCGTCACACCATTCCCGTCTAATTCGAAGTCTCCAATCATTTCGACATAGATCATCTACGTTGGTGATCTACACTGGTGAGCAAGACTTCGAATAATGCAACCTATCACTACATAGTAAAACCTTCTGGCTTAGCACTACGTAAACAACCGTTACTAAGATCCCAATCGTCTAATGGTGATTACACATTAGTGTACCATAAGTATGTATGTACTATGAGTGTCTGCATTACCAGTGACATCGAGCTTCCAAATAAGTGCACGTAGAGCAAACTTTTGAACCATACATAAAGAACGTATTTGTGGTACTTGACTGGAAACTACGCAAGTATCGCAATAAATGTACTACCTGGATTCATCTCTCTGCAGCTCAAAGCTGAACTTGAAATGAATATAATGCAAAGCTGCCGCTCATTTTCGATTAGCTACACGAATTTTGATAATGCTTCAGTAAACATCAAAGTTATCTTGAGTTTCGGTGGTAAACTACTTCATTATATTAAATGAACTGGTGTAAAGGAATCGGTTTTACCTACAATTGTGACCAAATTTTGAACTGAGCTAGTACGAAGTGCAGCTGTCAACTTAATGTAAGTCATAGACAAGCACTGGTTACACTTACAAAATTTCATGAGAATGTTGGGTGAATTAGCTTGCAGTCTCAAGAGCCTATTCCACAAAACAAACGTTAGCGAAACCTGGAGACGCATTCCAAACAAATATTTTTCTTAATTTTGTCATAAGACTTACTAAGTAAGACGTTGGTCCTATTTTAAATCGCCAAGATTTGTGTAGTATCATACTTCTTCAAATGGAATAGGTAAGTTTATTTACGTTTCAAAAAAGCTAGCACAGCTCCTGAATACAATTGCTTCTGGAAACTTGATAAATATTCAATATGTAGAAGATATTGATCTATTCCCGAGGGATGAAGTTCAATAAACCAGGCTTAAATCAATAATTTATGATTTTAAAGATTGGTCTGACCATCCGAGCTTCAATATGAGACTTAATCCTACACTAAATAGCAGAGGTAATCAAAGTCATGTTGATTATTCAAATAACATATTCTGACTTTAGGATTGTTTATGGAATCGAAATCTATCAAGGTATTTTTGTCTTAAACTATTTAGAGTAGTTAAAGTTTATATCCAAATTATTTATTTAAAAAAACCCATTCCTCGTTATCATAACAACCTTAACCTAATATTTTTTCTGGTTAGCGCTTTTTTAAAGATTTAGTTTTCTACGGGATGGGGTCGCTAACTCCATGCTCGACCCTCCTTCTTTATCCGGGCTTGGGACCAGCAGAAGCCCCAGAGGGGCTCCGGGCGGAGTTAGCCTATTATTGTAGGCCTCATTTAACAGATTTTCGCATTTTCAAATGTCTCCTTTTTTGAACTATATAATGCGTTTCCTCAATTTTTTACTCCCCTTCTTTCGTGTAGCATTACCAATAAACGTTATTGTCTAATTCTTAGGACGAAAATATTATTTCAATAATCCTATTCCATTCACATAATTCGTCGAAATCCCCCCTTCTATACTTACATACATTCTGTAGAAATTGAAATTCAGCCTGTAGCCCTTCTAGAGTTTCTCCCAATCGAAAGACCGGATAAAGGAAGAGGGTTCGGCATGAGGTCAGCAACCCCATCCCATAGGAAACGACTTTCCTAGAAAAATGCTATCCAGGAAAAACAATTTGAACTCTCAACTGGGATTCAGAAGATCGTCACTCGGAAGAATTATGATACCCAAGATGCTTCGGAAATCACGAGGCCGATGCCTCACCAGACGGTACTACAAGTAACTAGGACTAACGTTGGTCCTTATGTCTGAAGACCAAAAGCTGAATGCAAGAAACATTTGACTACTGATGGAATAATTGTTGACATCTGGATATTTCTTAGAAAATCAATATTGCATTTATGCATACAAATTCAATGGTAAAATTATTTTGAATGGAGATGGTTTGTTTTCACAGACAGGCTAACATAAAAGAGAACCTTATCTAACTGCAGTTTTCAAGAGGTTACATTGTGCACAATTTTGTATCAAAGTAAACGAGAAAAAACTTCAACAATCAGTATTACCTTCGTTATTGAAAATCAGCTTGTTCGCGTAAACATTTTCTTCAGGAATATTGAGCAGTTTGGCTACACGATTAACTAACGGATATAATCCACCGCTTACCAAGTAAACATCAACCCCATTTTCTTTGAACTGATTAACAAGATTTCTGTCCAAAGCGTGAAAAATAAATACTTAAATAAATTATCCAGACCAAAATGATTATTAGGCCATATCATAAATTCATCAAGTTGATTTAGTACATAAGTTTAGATCTCAAAGAAAAACTGTTTTGAAGTCAACTGAGTTATCAAAACTTTTAAGATGGAGAATAGTTGGTTGAGGAAGAGAACGATTAAGCTTAAAACGTGACCTAAACACATCAGCAAACGGAGATTTGCAGTTCCCCTGATCGATTCGTCACAGTTCCCCATTACCAGACACCTAGCTACGTCAGTGTTAACTCAATCGTTCCACCATACACCGGCAATGCCTCAAAGACACTTAAGACCAAATATTTGTGGCCTACACATATGCCGCATCTGTAGCATAATACAGTGCGGACTGATGCGTAATATACCCGCCCATTGATTGGCAAACGGATATCTAGCTATATATTCCATATAGTTTTCATTTAAATAAAACATGTAGTGAGCAACACAAACCATATTTTTTACCAATAAAGGAAATATTTCAGTACCCTAAAGGCTAATATGATGAATTGTCCGCCACCTTGCCCAAAAAAGTTAGATCTCAGTATCACTAACAAATTATTGCTACCAAGTGTGACAACAATTACAAAAAGTGGTTACAAAACACAGCCACCGAAAATACTCAGTTTGTGATAGTCACATATGATCAATTCAAGAGGTAGACCGTACAAAATAAATTACATTTCTGAATAAAAACAACAGACAAACCATCCCAAAACCCATAGTTCAGGTAAGAAATACTAGTTACTTCTATAGAAGCGAATTACATCAAAGAACGCGAAACACTGTAAACTTTATGAAAAGTTCATTCCCAATATTTAAGCTGCCATACAAAGATATTGCGTAAAGTCTATTCGAAGTCCTCATTTTTCTCTGAGTAATACTTTTTACAAAGTTTCACCCAAAATGTTATCCACAGCTATTTTTAGGAGAACGGATGATAAACTTATGAAACTAAACTGACTGATCGAATTCTGCAATAGAGACTGAAAGGATATCATAAAAGATCCAAATAAAAACGAAATAGAGACAAGAACTTCATTGACCAACTCTATGTATGTAAGTTAGAATACCAACACCTATAAACAGCATTTTAGTGCTGTTATAAAACTATATTAAAAGTAGCCCTACAGTATGACTTGATAGAGTAAAATATAGATTAATCACTTCCATTTTGGTACATTTAAAAAGATTCCAGCGATTTAATATCGATGTTTCATTTGAAAACGTTTAAGAAATTCCCGTCAAATTTACTTGACAGCATTGGTATTTACATCTAGTGGATGTGAAAGTTTACACACAAGTGTCTGTACAGTCTGCTTGCGGCAGTAGCTTAGTGGTGAATCCATATGCTTTACAGTCACTGAGCTCCAGGTTCGAACTCCACCTCACCTATTTCGGTATGAGCAACAGGGTATTATCATTAACCTTTAGACTTGGAATATGGCTCATACCCAAGTAACTTAAGAATGAGTTAAATTATTCGTATTTTGTATGATTACTAACTTCGTGTGTACGAAAAAAACCGCGAGGCATATTACTTCATAACACAGTTCAATAATTTATTTAGTTAACGTGTAATTCTTATCTTATAATCATCAACTGTTACAACCAAAATAGTATTTGCGTCACACTGTAACAGCGACTTGGATATCGACTACTATTAAAATTAGGATTGTATACATACACATAATTAATGGCTCATGTCCTTCTTAGTTTCATAAAAACACTCGTTCATTATGAAGTTTTGAAAATAAACTGTCTGTCAGACCTGACCATAGTGACATTTACATTAACAAAAGTATTTATTTAGAAAGGTCAATTTTTATAGGAATGAATGGCATATCTTCCAAAGTCTGATAAAACGAAAATCAATGGTGATTTTCAAAATTGGTTTAAATGAATGGAGAAAATAAGAAATGAAGTTATTTACACAATGATAACCGGAGCACGTACATTATGATTGCAAAACTAAAAGATTTAGTGAGATGAACTTACTCAACACCCGGTGTTAGTCTAACTGGATGGTTGTCTAAAAAGTCAGTAAGCTTCTTTAGATTTAAATTCATTATTGATAAGCGGGCTTCTAATGCCTTAGTAATGTCCAATTCTCCATTCATAGCCTCCTCAGTGCTAATGAAACTTTGAAATATAGACGAAATTTATTGTCTACATTTTTTTAACTTTATCAGTAACTCCAAGAAAACCGGCAATTTCATCCAGTCCTTCATCTTCACAAACCGTTGAGTCTACGTCCAAACAAACGCATTTGATATTAGACCAATCTGCAAACATCGATATGTTATACACTAACAAAAAGAAGTTTATTACACTTCAGTTATGTAGTCGCTGAAACAGGAAAGAATCAGATGTACTAGTATACAAAACCAAGTGTAAGGACTAGTTATATGGAGTAAAGATTTGAAACAACTAAAGATGCCATACATCAAAAAGATCTATGAGGGTCTTCTAGATACACATCAGACTAAACCAATACTACAACACCAACGATTGTGACTTGTACTTTGAGAACAAAAGATCAGGTGCCTGTGTCAGTCCTCTCCTAGTATGATTTCGTGTCCTTATTTTTCTCTTGAATGAGTAAATTGAAGGCCCATGAACTACTTATCCTGGTAGTTAGTTCTAAAAGTAAATTATTCGGCAAGAAATTTTGTTCGTTCTTGGCTTCTGGATCCGCCAGTTGGAAGAAAACAAAGGTAATTCAGGTTAAAAATCACTTTTAAGTATCCTTCACACCATAATTACATCGCTTCCGAATCAAATGTATAGTAATGTAATAAAACTTGGTTTCCAGAGATCCATGGTATGAGGAAAGCCACTGGAATCACAAGAGTACAATTCCTCTGCACATCTAAAAGATCTGAGTAATCTTTTAAAAAAGGGCTTGCGACTTGCACAGTACGCTCGAATTCGGATCTCATTATGGGCTGAGTAAAATAGTGACATACCTTTGGTTATTTTGCGAGTTTTTCTTAACACCCAAGCCAATCTATGACACTTAGCAAATACCAAACGTCACTGAGCCATGATCCACAAGTGATGACTGACTATGATCCCTGGGTCGTCGGTCAAGAAGTAAAGACGACAAACTTTTCCTAGTTTTCTGGTTGATACCAATTTGCATTAAGAAGCAACTGACTGCACTATCACACATTATTGACGTTTCGAATAAAAATACTTTCAGACCAGCTGGTGGTCAAGTTGCTACAGAAGTGATTGATGACCCAGACAAAACCATTATTGTCCTGAGTAGTTCTAATGTGGATACTGCAACTGATGGGAAATAAATGAAGCGTAAACACAGAAGAGAAGGAAAGATAGCCAAAAAATAACGCAAGTTTGGATGAAAAGTCCTTGGTGGGCTCATATCCGGTGTTAAAGATTACTCCGCCAAGTCCCAAATTAAGACGATATTTAACCCTATCATATATATAGGAAAACTTCGGCCTCATCAAACATTGTCATGTCATTCGCTCGACAGTTTTATCAGCCACATGTACAGGTCCTATGGCTGGTATCTCGGTGTGATTAGAACAAGTATTTCTAACAATACACGTGAAGTATACTTCGCTTGAATAGTTTAATTCTCAGCTTTTTCCAGATTTGATTCCGCTAATAAATCTGGATTTCCGTATAACAGTAATGAGGGAATACCATCACTGCGTTTTGTTCTCCATTTAACGTACAAAAACAATCGTTTCGGACAAGTACGATTATCATATTTCAATTGTCTCTCGTAAATAGTACAGCATCTAGCTATGGTCTTTTTACATATATTCTGGGGCTTTTGGTATTCGCACCTAAATTATTCGTGTCCTGTTGACAATAAGTCCCAGAAGTGTTTCCTACGCTTCAATAGCTTTTCGCTCTCCATATTGATCCATGGAGGATTATGTGGTAGCTTACGTATTGACCATAGGATAAACGGTGATGTTACAGACTCGAATGTAGCCTTAAACTTATTCCATTCGTCTCAGATCGACCCGCCTGCATTGGTCGATCAGTCAGTCGAGATAGCACAGTCTCTGATTGCCGGGATATTAGCCCGCCAGATATTGGAACGTAGTGGAGCAAATACACATTGTATACCGTGTGTCTGGAACAGAAAGTAAAGTACAACGTGGTCACTATTCGCTAGTAGGGGAAGGTGTTAAATGTCGATAACATTCTCAAAGAGGTGTGTGAGGACAAGGTCCAGCAATAACGGACCATTTTCCAAGTCAATATGTCGGTCTTGCGATACAGGGTCGCTATCGAAACCCCCACTTGAAGCTGTAAGCTCTATTCAGTTGATATGCGGTGCGTTGAAATCTCCAATGATGAAACAACAATATGCCATACACCAAGAACCGATGTCTTACGATAAAGTTGTCATCAAAACAACACGCACCATGATACATCTCTCCTATAGTCACTAACCCGTGTCTAGACTTGGTTGTACATCATGCTACTTGACATGTTCCACTAACATGCGCCTCTGATGCGATTGATTATATACGAAAGTGATCCATAACATATAACATTATGCCGGTTCCCTTGAGACTTATAACTCGGTCACTTCTAATACAGATGTAGCCTGCAATGATGAGGGAACAGTCTATATGTACGGCGAGCCAAGTTTCAGTGACAATTATATTGGGACTTAATTCATCCACCATCAAACTAAGCTCAGACGTTTTATTTCGAAGACTATGAGCGTTCGTGTGACATACATCTAAAGTGCTTTAACAATCATTCGTTCTACGCACACAAGCCTCGGAAGCATTGGCTTTCAGGACCTGACCACCCGAAAACACTTAGTGGTAAGATTCGCTTTGCCAATTAGCTTTCAACTTCCTAACTTTGTAAAGACATTCTTCCACTTGATTTGATCCTCAAGCGGCCAATCTGGTCGGATACGAATATTTGAATGCGTCGTTTAGAATGATGTCTCTTCCTTCATGAATTCCAAGTACTAACTTTAGGATCCTTTTTATTTGGATCTCGCCTCAAGCTAATTTACCGACCCGAGCTCTCAATTTTGGGGAAGCCGCCATAGTAAACTTTGGGGAGATTTTGGAGAAATGGCACAAAAACCCCAAAATTTCCCCAGAATTTTACTACAATTTGGGGAAATATGCTTATATTTATTAATAAAACCCTGAAATTTTTCATAATTTTGGGGAAATTTTGCGTTTTTCCGCGAAATTGCCCCTGATAAGACTCGATTCTTATCACTTTCGTGATATGTACCCCCAAAACCTTTTCAGATAGTACATTTCTGATAGCAGATCGTGTGCGTATCTTTTATCAGGGTCATTGTCTTTCGACTCCTCTAGATTCCAAATAATATTAAACTGGGAACAGGCTAAACTTCTTTGAAAGTCGTGTTCGCGGCAAGAAAACTAATGGCAAGCTCCCAGAAGTTAACAGGAAGGATCTCACATCACTGAAAGGCAAACTGTCAGGATTGATACAGGTCCAGCAACCTACTTTCCTTATTACCGTAAACTGGTAATATTTTCCCAAATTACCAGTGACATACAACCGACATAGAGGATGAATACGTACATTTATTATGATGCTGGCCCACTAAGAAAAGAACAACTGTTTTTCTGAAGGTTTTGAATATAACCTTTCCTTCTTAGCTATGGTGCGTCACATCGACAATTTGTGAAGTTTTTCAGAAGCCGTCAAATCAAGACATTTGAATTTGAATTTAGTTCATGCACACCATGTCTGATAACACACATCCTACAAGTAACGAAGACGATGCCATCGTGATGATGCATGATATAAGACGAATCTCCAGTGATATTACGTTATCTCAACGGTTTACAAGTTGGGACAATTTTGAGAACTGTTTGAAAGTATTACATGAGGTAATACGACTTCTGTGGTTAATAATTATTTTTGTAGTATAATCATACTAAGTACGTTACGTCAGTATGTAAAAAACAGTGGTGACCCGAATCTAAAGTATTTTTTTCGTGAGATGTTATAATCATCTATAGCATATATGCATAATATTTACAACCCTCAGCACAACTAATATATTCTCTATTAACCTATTTCTGCCACAAAAGTCGAACGAAACAGTGAAAATCAGCCAAAATTGTGATAAAGACGGGAAAAACGATAAATCTTATTATAGTATCGTTACTTGTAGCGCTTTTTAAAAAGCGCTACCAAATTTGGTAGCCTTGAAGACAGTACAATTTTTATGACGATATATGCTTTAATCATGTTATTTCATATAGAAATGAATGATTTGTCCACGCTCAGTGTATAGTGAGGTAGAAATAATTGCTAGTCTGTGATGCAAATATGAAAAAACTATTATAGCAGCACCTGAATAATGAGTTTTCAAGGACTTCGCGACACCATGTAACGCAAAAAGAAAAAGCCCTTTTTCGCCTAATCGTGACAACGTTAAATAAACTTTCAAATTAATTTATGATTATATTCGAATTTTGGCTCTGCAAAAAGCAGGAACGAAAAAGTAGAGCAAAAAAGTGTCGCGATACCCTTGGAGCGCTGCCGCTGCACAACGACTCTGACATTCATAATCCCACAACGTAAAGTAGTGTAGCAAAATCATGAACAATTAATCAGTAGCTGAAGAGGTGAAGTACCTCCCATGGTAAATAAGCTGTCCATACTTAAAAATGTCACGAATATTCATGACTTGACAACGCCCTTGGCTGTAACACAATATAGTTGTAGGATACCAACCCAGTCAAACCAGAAGTCAAGAATGAAGGAGTTCCGGAATATCATACGAACGTATTCGATATGTCAATAAGCATGTGGCCTATGCTGAATAGTTGTTGCAAGAGATGAGTATCGCAGCATAGCTACCCGTGATCTAAAGTAGAAGTGTGACCAGTAGCCTTCAAGTTTGACGTGTCTAACAAAACTCAAGAGGTTGTAGCGGTAAATAAATTCACGAAATAAATAGCTCTGCAAGTTTTCGACATTGGATGCTGACCATATGTTTTAGTGGGCCCATTTAGCTGAAGGCGCTCGGTCATGCATCCGCACCAGATCACGTGTGGTAACGCTGTGGTCATCATCTACTGCAATCGCTAGCCAGATTAGATCAGAGAATTCCGATATATTGGTTATCGCCAAGTGCACTCTTCCGATCTCCCCGACTCTGTCTTTTGATTTCTCTTGGTGGGTATGAATTATATAAGGTGTTGCCGGTAAAAGTGTTGTCAAACACTGAATACCCGTGCCATCTTCAACGTCAGGGTCGATGTTAAAATTTTACAGCGCCACTTACCCCAGGA